GCAGAGCAATTCTGCCTCCAGCTTCCTGTAGTCAGCCCCTGGTCAGTTTCAGCAGCAGCGGCTGAATCTGGAGCCAGTTCCGACTTACAAACAAATTCAACTTAAGAACAAACCTATAGTCCCTATCTTGTACGTAACCCGGGGACTGCCTGTATAGACAGTGTCTCATGATAACCTTAATAATCCAGAATTCTCAAATACTCTCCATCAGATGTTTCCTTATTTGAATTCCTCACATACATTCAATGCTCTCATACCTGAGTTACTGAAATAAGCCTTGCTTACAGCAGATGTGGGGAGAGCCTAGAGAGTTTTCCTAACACCCCTTCAGATCTTTGCAACTTAGCTCATGCCTTAATACAGCACTAACTGACAGCTCAGCAACTTGCAATATGGGGGCCTCTAAAAATAAAGAGAGAGAGAGAACTCCATTTCAAGTGACTCCATTTCAAAGTTTATCAAAATTGGTTGATAAATAAAAGAGATATAGGAAAAAGCAGATAGTTTCTAAGTCTCTAAATACAAACATTTTTGCTCAAATATGACAAAAATATACACATCTGGCTACACAAATTCCCTTGCCCTTCACTAAGGCCAGGTCTACACTAGACCCGGAAGTTCGGCTTAAGGTATGCAGCTCCAGTGATGTATGATATGTAGCTAGAGGCAGCTTACTTTAAGCCAGTGGGAAGCCAATGGGAGCCAATCCTCCCGTCAGCTTCCCTTACTCCTTGCAAGAATAGGAGTAACAGTCACCGGCAGGGGTGCCCTGTGAGTTCAATTTAGCGAGTCTTAACTAGACTCACTAAATTGAACTCCAGAAGATCAATTGCAGCAATGTCATTCTTCCGTGGAGTGAAGACAAGGCCTAATTGCTCATTACTAACAGGAGAGAGGCCAGGGCTAAACACCTTCCCCCGCAATAATTACACTTGTAAAATTAGCATTTCCAGGAGTAAGTCTGCTATCAGTATCCTAAGGCCACATTTTGTTGGCCACTGGCTCCTGGAAAATTTTTGCTAATGTCTTCCTTACTTAAATAAATAGATACTCATTACCAATAAAATCCAGAAAAATGTGAGGTCAGAGACTGAGTGGTGTGAGGCAATCCTACCAAGCTCATATTCATAAGGGACTCATCCTAGCAGTGACATCATGTATAACACCCTCCTTGGCTGGCAATAGCCAAAAGACCTCCTTTTGTTTACGATCAAGCACGCTCAGTATTATAGTGTCTTCGCTCCTGTTTTTCTTTATTTTCTTAAGTATTAATGTGTTATTTCTTCTTTTGATCAGTACATATTTACAACTGTGTATTTTTGTGTGCATGCCATTTTCTGCTTCATGCGCTATCAATGATTCTCATGATTGAGACTGCAAGTGATTGTTTTATGAATTTGGGCCAAGTGAATTTTGAGGAGGATAAAGTTGTGTTGGGTTCCCTCTATCTTTTGGGAACCTTCACTATATTTTTATAGTCTTGCAGCACCTTAGAGACTAACAAAACATGTAGCTGGTTTGTTAGTCTTTAAGGTGCTGCAAGACTATTTGTTGTTTTTTAAGTTTTTTCCAGTTACAGACTAACTCAGCTACCCCTCTGAAGCTTTTGTATTTTATAGTATGGCAAAAGAAAAAACCCAACAATTCCTTGTTTCATACCAAAAATTCATAATTATATTTGATATATAGTCTAGATAAACTTTATATTTTCCTAACAAAATTAATCAAACTTTTTTCATGTATTCATAGTAAAAGAATTTCTCTTATTCATGGCATCTATATTGTACAGGGAAACAAGAGAGGTTATATCATCCTCTTTTTTTTCCCCTGTAACAACATAATGCTTTGTGTTTATATATTCAATGTCCTTTCTGTGAAAATAAGAAAATCATTTTTATGGTATGGGTCCTCTTACACTTGACATAGTTTAGGGCCTCAGAATGTCAAAATCTGGACATGCTGTCAATATTAATACATTTATTTATTTTTTACATACTACAGTATATATTTGTCTTACCTTAGTTTTATCAACCGTTTCAAGAAAAAAACAAAATGGCAGATCTCACAAAAATCCAGACTCAGTGCACTTCTCCTTTCTAATCAAAGACTAACTTATTAGTTTTATTTATTTTTCAGGCTGCCTTATCTACTGTCTTCTGAATATCTGTAGACTATTGTCTCAGCAGGATGTGTCTTTTTTTTCCCCAGTCCCAGGAGGCCCAGGTGCTGAAACATCTGGCAGAAAAGAGAGAACATGAGCGAGAAGTCCTTCAGAAGGCTTTGGAAGAGAACAATAACTTCAGCAAAATGGCAGAGGAAAAGCTGATACTGAAAATGGAACAGATCAAAGAAAACCGTGAAGCTAATTTAGCAGCTCTTATTGAACGTCTTCAAGAAAAGGTAATCAGGCCATGACTCCACACAACCGGAGGCAAGAAACCCTCGTTCAAAATTTCCAAAATGGACTGTGATTTTGGGTGGCTCCATTTTAGATCCCTTAACTTAAAGCTCCTTAAAAAGGGGGCTATCTTCACAGGATGAATGCTCAGAGCTTTTTGAAAGACATGTCCCATTACGGTGACAAGCTGAGCACTCAAAATCACTAGCTGCTTTTGAAAAATCAGATGACATCAGCTCAATCTCGACTACACCCAACTCTGATATACTCTCAGGCTGGTTTATTTGTTACCCTTTCAGGCTAAGAACTGCCTCTTTCCCCATATGGAAAAAGTCTGTTTTTAAAATCAAGGGTCCCAAGTTCAAAGGTAGAAAAAAAAAAACCAAAGAAAGGTCATTTGGGTTTAATGTTTGGCTTCTCTGCAGGATTTATGAACAATGTGGAATAAATCATTTGTTTCATATTTAGCCACATACATCCATAACAGACTGTGTTGCAATCACTCTCCTAATTGAGGGAGATTAGATCTATTTTTGGACACCTTCAATATACAGCCAGGGGATTGAATTCCCCCAGGCACAGAGTGTTCTATTCCTAATGCGTCCCTCTGAGGCAGAAGAGTTTTAAAAAAAAACAAATGGTGAAAGCACAGGCCAATGAACCAGATGTGGGATTGTCCTTTTAACCTGTTTTGCAGGCTGTGGTAACTTTTCTCTGCTGGTATGTAATAAATAGGAGCTGTTATTTTGAAGGATCTAATACAGGCAGTCCCCGGGTTACGTACAAGATAGGGACTGTAGGTTTGTTCTTAAGTTGAATTTGTATGTAAGTCGGAACTGGTACATATTGTAGGGGAAACTCTAGCCAAACATTACTCCAGAGCTCAGTTTTATTCTCCCACACCTCACTTCCCTCAGTCCTTTATTCTCAAGCTAAGGTGTCTGCTGAGAAAAGCCACTTCGCGTCTCCCTGGTCTGCTGGGGGGAAGCAGCTAGTGCGGGGTTGCCTCACCCCGTTTGTAAGTAGGGATCCGATGTAAGTCGGATCCATGTAACCCGGGGACTGCCTGTATATCAGCAGACAAGAGTATATACCTCTCAACTGTTGCTGATGAAGAGGGATGTCCATTTTAGAGCTACGTTTTTCTCCATCTTGCACTCATCTTATGCAATCTCATTGTTTTAACTGTAGATAATTGGTATCAGAGATGTCAAATCAGGAAGCAGAGCTGGGCAAGTCAGAGAGAGCAGTGTCCTGTGAAATACCCTAAAGAAGGATGCAACTGGTTGTTTCAACCAAGTTCCTGGGATTGTGCTTAACTACGCATCATAAAGTCCAGCAACTCAAAGAACTGTTAGCTATCATTGGGAGCAAAGGGATCAGCTGCAAGCAAACTGATGTCAGACAGGAAGTCCCTTTATATCACAGTCCTTTGATAACATGTACATACATGGATGCATTTTATTAGTTTAAACATTTTATTAGTTAGATAATTTCCTGGAGGTTAGGTCCATAAAAGGCTATTAGCCAGGGGATAAAATTGGTGTCCCTGGCCTCTGTTTGTCCGAGGCTGGAGAGGGATGGCAGGAGACAAATCGCTTGATCATTGTCTTCGGTCCACCCTCTCTGGGGCACCTGGTGCTGGCCACTGTCGGCAGACAGATACTGGGCTAGATGGACCTTTGGTCTGACCCAGTACAGCCATTCTTATGTTCTCATGTTCATAAAGTCAAAGGAATGCTTCTGAGCACAGATTACCATCTCCTTACTGGGGATCTTGTCTGACCAGAAAACATGGCTTGGCCAAAAAAAATAAGAACTTAATTTAAAAAATGAATCCACAAACACTAAAAGGCAACCAGGACGATGGAAGAGGGAACAATCATAAAACATTGAGGCCAAAATCTTCAAAACTAGCCTCTAATTGTCAATGCCCCAATTTTCAGGTGCCAAAGGCTCCTGCAATCAGATGACATTTGTGGATGCCAACATCAGTGGAAAATGCAAGTGATCAGCCTCTGGAAATCAGGCCTGCCCTAACTATCAAAATTTGCCACACAAAATTAGATGCCACATGAAATTTCACCTTCAAATTACAGATGAGATTAACACCAATCAAAGCCCAATGAAGCCAGTTTCTGTAAAGGAACACAATGTATAAATCTCACATAGGAAGCTCACTGGAGGCATCCTCAGTTGCAGACATTTGGCCATGGGTCTTTGTTGCTCTTGTCATTTTATGTTTGTCATTGAGTTTTCAGATTATATTCTCAGAGATAAATACATGAATGAGGTTGGAGCCTTTTAATTAGTTTGTCTGAAAAAGACAGCAAGAAAAAACTATCCCCAAAAATGTGCCAAACAGCCAGAAACAGTGCAGCTCTGTAAACACTCTGGATGGAAACTTCCTAAATTCATTTCACAGCTGTGGTTTCTGAGTATAGGCCCATGTTAGCATGACTATCTGAATTTACAGAGGTTCCAGTAAATCTAAAATTAACTAGGACAGCCTTTGTTTTACAGCCATTAATGGTTATTCCAATTAGAAATCGAACTTAAAAGATCTGTAAAATAAGAGCCAGTGACCAAGGAAAGACAAATTGTCCAACAATGAACAGAAAGACTTAACACTGAACTTTGAAGATAGCTACCTAATATTCAGGGCTGGCCGTCTACTCAATGTGAGTATTCCAAAGATGAGGTTGCCCCTTCTCGGTGATCTGGTCAACACACTGAGCTCAATACAAGGGCTATCCCATGTCTATGTCAGCTGTAAAGCCTCTTGGTCTCCTTCACAGTGGCATATCTAAATCCCCAGCTCTTCTAGACAGGGTGGGCATTGAATTCACTAACAATATACATCGTGAGGGGGAGCTCTCAACTCCCACGTCCCTGCT